CCAGGACTGCTGGCTCCTAACTGCTCACCTGCCTGCTTACCTAATCTCCCATAACCACTCTCCTGCCTGCCTGATCGCCCATAACTCCCTCTGCCTGCCTGCCTGCCTGATGTCCCTAACTGCTCCCCTGCTGGCCTGATCACCCCTAACTTCTCTCCCCTGCCGGCCTGATTGCCCCTAACTGCCTCTGCCTCAGCCTCCACCACCATGGCTTTGTCCGGAAGATGTCCAGTCTATCTGGTCTAATTAGCATATTAGTTTATTATAGATAATAAAATTCTGACCATTACCAACCAATGTGGAATGACAAGCTTTTAATTTTAGCTCTTTAAAAATATATATAAACTATAAAAGTAATATATCATTACCAAAGGTTTAGATATAGAAGTGAAAATATATGGGCATATTATTTAACCTATTTGCTTTTTATGAATTCTCTTCCAATATTTATAATACATGTAAAATTTTATCACCTGCTTTTTATCATGCCCATATTTCTCTGGCTTCTAATGCTTACTTGATATCCTTTTGATTGTACCAGCACCACAATTCACTCAACTTTTACCCAGTTTGGGGAAATTAAGGGTATTTCTGTTTTTCTTTGTTGTAAATAATGTTATATTAAAAATGTGGGGGCTTGTAGATTTTTATATATTTTCTCAGGGTAAGCTTCTCAAAGGTAAGCTCTCCCATAGTTTCTGAGCTCTCTGGCTTATAAGTTTCCCTGGTGGGCATTCTGAGCATGTGATTCTATCATACAAGGGTCATGAGAACACAGACTTAGTCCAGATTGGCCAATGACAGGCTTTGCTTTATTTTTGTAAAATTTTGTAAAGGAAAAAATGGTTTCCTGTACTGTTGCCTTTCCTTGATTATTAAATATTAAGTGAGGATCCATTCTACTCATTTGTGAAATGGCTGTTTCTAAGCTTTGACCATTTACTTATTGGGATTTTAATGTGTTTTTTAAAGCTATTTATCTTAACTTCTTATGTAACTTTGTGTCCTCTATTGTACAAATATTTTCCAGTCATTTTTTTTTTTTTGCTTGTCATTATTTTTGCTTTTAATTACAGAATCATATCTATAACCCTTTAAAAATATTTTTATTGATTTCAGAGAGGAAGGGAGAAAGAGAGAGAGAGAGAGAAACACCAATGAGAGAGAATCATGGTTCGGCTGCCTCCTGCACTCCAGGAGTGCCACTGAGTACAAGCCAACAATCCGGGTATTAACCCTGACCAGGAGTCAAGCCATGACCTCTTGGTTTATAGGTCAATACTTAACCACTGAGCCACCATGGCTGTGCTATATAACCCTTTTTCTTTTGTGACCCTCTCCCCTTCAAATTCTAAGCTTAAAAATAAAATTTCTTTTTAGTTTCTTAATATATTCATTAGCAATTGTATTTTATTTTTTACATTAAACTTTTATATCCGTCAGAATTTATTTTGATGAATGAAGTATGTCCTTTTTCCTTCCAAATTGTTAACCAGTGATCCCAATACCATTTATTCAGTATTTTGTTCCTTTCCTATAGTTCTGTGCTTTTTCTTCTATTGGCTGTTATATTCTTCTTGTATAATGCAGCCAGTTTCTGGACTGTCTTTTCTGTCTTATAACAAACTATAGCTTGCTGTTTAGTAATGATTAATGTTTTGATGTTTTAATATTTCTCATTTCCCTATTGGTTCTTCCCTAGCATTTTTATTTAATCATCTCATTATTATGCATAATTTTAGAATCAGTTCATCAAGTAAAAATCTTGCTTAGGCTTTGATTAGAATTATATTAAATATATGCTTTAATTTGGAGAGAACACAACTTATTAGAGTATTCAAATATATTCTAAAGTCACTAAAACATTTTTCATTAAATGTTCTTAAGCTTTAAATTCATTTATCTCTAATTACCTTATGTTTTTTGTATTGTTGGTGTACAGGAATGTTGGTGACATTAATGTGTTTTGTCAGCCTTAAAAATAAAACAGCCAGTTATTTCATCAGCAGAATGGTTTTATTCAGGGAGAGCAAAGAATTGCCATTTGGAACAAGCAAGCTTTAGGAAAATGTCAGGCAAGTCCAGCAAGAAAAGGAGGGGAATGGTGCTTCACAGAGGAGAAGGAGGAAGCAGGGCTTGGGTGGCGCAGCATTTGCCACGGGCGGGCTCTGCAGCTGACGGGCACTTCATGTTAAATGGGGTTTCTTTCTCCTGCTTTCCAATGTATACTTTGTTCTTACACTGACATAGTTACTGATTTTATACAAATGTTTGTTTTAATCTGATTCCATTAGATCTTGCAAAATTCCTTTGAACTCTTCCCTTATACTACAAAGTTTTCTTTTTATCATTAACTTTTCACAGCAGAAAAAAATTTATATATTAAATAATAGCAGTGGTAATGTGGTTATTTTGATTTTATGTTTAATTAAAACGCCACTAAGAGTTTTGCTCTGTGAGTGTAATGTTAAATTTTGAGAGAGAGGTGCTTTTTAAAAATTAGGGACCCTCCATTGCTGTTTTCTAAAAGGTGCTAAATTCTGTGTGGACAATGGGTTCATCGTTTGTGAATAGCATCGATGACGCACATGACTGGTCTGCAGGTTTTCCTCGTGAGTCGGATCTGTTCCTGGGTGTCCAGGTCTCAGTATGCTGGTGCTCCCTGCACACCGTGCACATGTTTTGGGTTTCCCACAGGCATGTCAAGCTCACTGTGCCACGGTGACCCCCTGGTACCCTGCTCCCCTGGTATCCCGGGCTTGTAAAAGTACAGCTAGAACCTGGGTGTGGCTTAGACCCTGACTGGGTTATGTCAGTCCTCCTTTTCAGAAGGTCTCTGTCCATCCACCCACTCACTGCTTTGGTGTGGCCTCGGTCATTCAGTGCTGTGTGTTACAGTTGGTCTCCGCACTCCTGCTTTCTCTTTCTTGCTGTCTGCTAGTTGCTATGCACAGGCTTCTTTTTATATGCGGCATGCTTCTGATAGAGACAAGCTTGACTTAAACTCATTTATTCTGAGTGCCAGTCATGATCCTGAGATCCAACACCTCACATAGGGAGAAGCAGGGCACTGCTGGAGCCTGGCACCCTAAGAGCAAGGCTGCAGGGAGGCATGCAGGCCTGGGGTGACTGTGCCCCAGGGAGGCTGCGACTGGCATCTTTGTCACAGCATCGTTGTAGGGCTGGGCTGAGCCCTTTGTTCATTTGACCATCTGGAAACACAGGGAAGAGCTTGGTTGTTAGGCTGCGCTGGCTGTCATATGGACCAGAGCTTTCTACCTCTCCCCTTACAGGGACACATTGTCAACTCTGCTTTCCCGCAGAGTCATGCTGCCGAGCTTCTTAATAGCTGTCAGAAAGGATTTGAGGTCCCAATTGTTTAAATCTTGTGTCAGTCTGAGCTGTGGGAAGACAGGGGAAAGCAAACAAACAATTGGGCTTTGGTGAGGCCATGAGAAGAATCGTGCAGATGTCTGAAAAGGCAGCCTAGGCAGTGTGCTGGTGTTGAAACCCGTCCATTTGTGCATGTGTCCTGTCTTATTGGAGCTCCACAGTAACCCTGGAAGCTGAGCAGAGATGATTCCTTTCTGTTTTACAGATGGAGATGAAATGTATCAGTTTGCCCAACATCACAGTTAGTATTTAATAGAGTCAGTACTTGGGTTTCTGATTGCTGATTATGCACTCTTCCTGTTGCCTTTCTCAAAACTAGAAGAGTGATAGCATAACAATTCGTTCATTTTATCTAGATAACTCACATTAGGGATAGCACAAAGGAGAAATAGGGTTTTATCCATATTAACCTATATGATTTCCATATTCTTCTTTTAAACAGCTTTATTAGGATACTAGAGGCCTGGTGCATGAAATTTGTGCCTGGGGGTGGGTCCTTTCAGCCCAGCCTGCACCCTCTCCAACCTGGGACCCCTCAGGGGATGTCTGACTGCCAGTTTAAACCATGTTGTAGCATTTATTCATGTTTTATTTCTTTTTATTACTGAATAATATTCTATTGTATACATAACTCAGTTTTATTTATCCTTTCATCTGTTTATGGACATTTCAGTTATTTCTGTTTTTGACTATGAACATCCATGTATATGTTTTTATGTGGGTATTACTTACATTTCTTTGGGTGAGTATATACCCAAGAATGAAATTCCTGGGTCACATAGTAACACTATATTTAACATTTTAAGGAATGGCCAGACTTTACCAAAAGCAGCTACATACATTCCCACCAGTGGTGAATGAGGGTTTCAATTTCTCCACATTCTTGCCAGTGCTTCTCAGCCTTAGTAATTATCCATAATTAAAGTGGTATCTCATGGTTTTGGTTTACATTCTCCTGTTGGCTAACAATGTTGAGCAATCATTTTTCATTGGGTTATCATTTTATTATTGAGTTGTAACAGTCCTTTATATATTTGAGATACAAGTCCCTTATTAGTTATATGGTTTGCAAAAATAATTATTCTGTCCTATGGTTGTCTTCTCACTTTTTTTACTTTAAATGATTTTTATTTTTCCATTGTAGTTGACATAAAATGTTATTTTACTTTTTGGTGTACAACCCAGTGATTAGACATTATATAACTTACAAAGTGGTCACCTCGATAAATTGAATGTCCATCTTTTGCCATACACAGTTACTATAATATTATTGGCTATATTCCCTATGCTGTTCTTTATATCCCCATGATTATTCTGTAACTACCAATTTGTATTTCTTAATTGCTTCACCTTTTTCTCCCATCCTCCCTGGCAACTGTCAAATGTTCTCTGAATCTATGAGTGTGTTTCTATTCTGACTGTTTGTTTATTTATTTATTTATTTATTTTTTATATTTCACATAGGAGTGAAATCATATGGCATTCGTCTTTCTCTGTCAGACTTATTTCACTCATCACAATATCATCTAGGTTCGTCCATGTTGTTGCAGATGGCAAGGTTTCATTCGAGGGTTTTCACTCGGTTATACCTGTCTTCTCTCTCCCAGCTTTAAGTCCATGGCCCAAAATGCCTCTGCCACTGGAGACTCTCTTCTGTGAAGAAGACGACCAGACAGGAGGCTGGAATGAGCATGCCACTGCACCCAATCTCTGCCATTCCTTCTCAGGATGCCGCCTGCTCTAAAGTCTGCAGAAGTAAGACCAAAGAGAAGGAGAGGGAAGAGCAGGTAATTTTAGTTTCCTTATTTTTGTTGTTTTCATTAAATATGATCTACAATGGTAAACTCTGAAGATCAAGATTTTCTCTGGTGATATACTAAAAAGCCCAGGTAGTGCTTAGAAATTGTCTTTGTTATTGTGGTTGTTATTTCTCACCAGATAGTGTTTTTTCTTTTTTCAAAGAATTTTTGATTGACTACAGTTTTACATATGTCTCCTTTTCTCCTGATTGACTGCCCCTCCTCCCAGCCATTCCCACCGTGTGCAAGCCCCCACCACTCCAATGTCTGTGTCCATTGGTTATGCTAATATGCATGCAAACAAGTCCTTTGGTTGCTCTCTAAACCACGCCCCCACCTCTCCTGCCATTTGTCTCTGGATCTGTTTTTGTTAATCAAATTATGTTGATCATTATATCCCACATATGAGTGAGATCATGTGATATTTATTATTTTGCTTAGCATAATGCTCTCCAGTTCCATCCATGATGTTGCAAATGGTCAAAGTTTCTTTTTTATTTTTATAGTGGCGTAATATTCCATTGTATAGATCTACCACAGTTTTTAATCCACTCATCTGCTAATGGGCACTTAGGCTGTTTCCAAATCTTAGCTAAGGTGAATTGTGCCGCTATGAACATAAGGGTGCATATATCATTTCTGATTGGTGTTTCTAGTTTCTTGGGATACATTCCTAGAAGTGGGATGACAGGGTCAAATTGAAGTTCCATTTTTAACTTTTTGAGGAAACTCCAAACTGTTTTCCACAGTGGCTGCACCGGTCTGCATTTCCACCATAAGTACATGAGGGTTGCTTTTTCTCCACATCCTCATTGGTACTTGTTATTTGTTGATGATAGCCATTCTGACAGGTGTGAGATGGTACCTCATTGTTGTTTTGATTTGCATCTCTTGGATGATCAGCGACTTTGAGCGTGTTTTCATATGTCTCTTGGCCTTCTGTATGTCCTCTTTTAAAAAGTGTCTATGTAGGTCCTTTGCCCATTTTTTTTTTTTTTTTGATCGGATTGTTTATCTTCCTTTTGTAAAGTTGTATGAGTTCTCTGTTAATTTTGGAGATTAAACCTTTATCAGAGATAACATTGGCAAATATGTTCTCCTTTGCAGTGGGATTTCTTGTTATTTTGTTGATGGTTTCTTTTGCTGTGCAGAAGCTTTTTATTTTGATGTAGTCCCATTTGTTTATTTTCTCCTTAGTCTCCATTGCCCTAGGAGCTGTGTCAATAAAGATATTACTATGACATATGTCTGCTATTTTGATGCCTATGGAATCTTGTAGGATTTTTATGGTTTCCCATCTTACATTTAAGAACTTTAGCCATTTTGAGTTTGTTTTTGTGTATTGTGTAAGTTAGTGATCTAGTTCCATTTTTTTGTTGTTGTTGTTTGCATGTGTCTGACCAAATTTCCCAACACCATTTATTGAACTGACTGTCTTAACTCCATTGTTCCTGCCTCCTTTGTCAAATATTAATTGAGTATAATGGCTTGGGTTGATTTCTGGGTTCCCTGATCTATTCCATTGGTCTATATATCTGTTCTTGTGATAGTACCAGGCATTTTTGAGAACAATGGCTTTGTAATACATCTTGATATCTGGTATTGTGGTCCTTCCAATTTTTTTCTTCTTTCTCAGGATTGTTGTGGTTATTTGGGGTCTTTATAAATCCAGATAGATTTTTGGAGAGTTTGTTCTAGATCTTTTAAATATTTCATTGGCATTTTAATGGGGATTGCATTGAATCTGTAGATTGCTTTGGGTAGTATGGACATTTTAATGATATTGATTCTACCAATCCATGATCATGGTATATTCTTCTATTTGTTTATGTCTTCCTCTATCTCTTTTTCAATGTCTCATAGTTTTCCAAGTACAGGTCTTTTACTTCCTTAGTTAAGTTTATTCCTAGGTATCTTAAAATTTCTGGTGCAATGGTAAATGGGATTCTTTTTTTAGTTTTGCTTTCTATGAATTCATTTTTGGTGTATAAAAAGGGCGTAGACTTCTGGGTGTTAATTTTGTGTCCTGCTACATTGCTGAATTCATTTGTTAGATCTAGTAGTTTTTTGATGGAGTCTTTGGGGTTTTCTATATATAGTATTATGTCATATGCAAATGAGGACAGTTTTACTTCTTTTCCAATTTGGATGCCTTTTATTTCTTCTTTTTGTCTGATCGCAATGGCTAGCACTTCCAGTATTATATTGAACAGGAGTGGTGAAAGTGGGCATCCTTGTCTTGTTTCCATTCTTAAGGGAAATGAGTTTAGTTTTTGCCCATTGAGTATGATGTTGGCTGTAGGTTGTCATTTAAGGCTTTTATTATTTTGATGTATGATTTCTCTATTCCCACTTTGCTGAGAGTTTTTATCAAGAAAGGATGTTGGATTTTGTTAAATGCTTTTTCTTCATCGATTGATATGATTATGTGATTTTTGTCTCTCAGTTTGTTTATGTGATGTATCACTATTATTGATTTGCAGATATTGTACGATTCTTACATCCCCGGAATAAATCCCACTTGATCATGGTGTATGATCTTTCTGATGTACTGCTGGATCCAATTTGCTAGAATTTTGTTGAGGATTTTAGCATCTATTATCATCAACTATATTGGCCCCATAACTCTCTTTTCTGTGGTGTCTTTATCTGATTTTAGGATTAGGGTAATGTTGGTGTCCTAGAAAGAGTTTGGAAGTATTTCTTCTTCTTGAATTTTTTGGAATAGTCCGAGGAGGATAGGTTTTAGTTCTTATTTGAATGCTTGGTACAATTCCCCTGTAAAGCCATCCCAACCAGGGCTTTTGTTTGCCGGAAGATTTGATCACTGCTTCAATTTCTTCCGTAGTTATTGACCTATTCAGGTTTTTTTATTCTTCCTGTTTGAGTTTTGGGAGCTTGTATTTTTTCTAAGAATATGCCCATTTTATCTAGATTGTCCATTTTGTTGAAATAGAGTTGTTCATAGTATTTTTTCATAATATTGATACTTTGTATTTCAGTGGGAATGGTTATTTTTTCACTTCTTTCATTTCTGATTTTGTTTGTTTGGGTCCTCTCTCTTTGCTTCTTGGTGAGCCTGGCTAGAGTTTCATCCATCTTGTTTATCCTTTCAAAGAACCAACTCTTGGTTTTATTGACTTTTTTTTTTTTTTTTTTCTCTATGCTTTTATTTCCACTCTGATCTTTGTCATTTCCTTCCTTCTACTTACTCTGGGCTTTTCTTGTTGTTCTCTTTCTAGTTTTTTAAGAATTACAATTAATGTTAGATAACTTATTACCAGTTTTTCTTTCCCTCCTTCCCTCCCTCCCTCCCTCCCTCCCTCTTACTTTCCCTCTCTCTCTCTCTCTCTCCCTCTCTCTCTCTCTCTTTCGTTCTTTCTTTCCCTTCCTCCCTCCCTTCCTCCCTCCCTTCCTCCCTCCCTCCCTTCCTTTCTTCCTCCCTTCCTCCCTCCCTTCCTTTCCCTCCCCTCCCCTTCCCTTCCCTTCCCTCCCCTCCCCTCCCCTCCCCTCCCCTCCCCTCCCCTCCCCTTCCCCCCCCCCCCCCCCCCCCCTGCAGTGGGCCTGTAGTGCTGTGTACTGCTCTCTCAGGACTGTATCCTATAGATTTTTGGATTGTCTTGTGTTCATTTTCATTTGTTTCCAGGATTTTAAAATTTCTTCTTTGATCTCTTTGGTAACCCATTCATTAATAGCATGCTATATATCCTCCATGTATTTAATTGGCTTTGAGCGTTTTTATCGAAGCTGACTTCTAATTTCATGCCATTGTTTTCTGAGAAGATGTTTGATAAGATTTCAATCTTCTTGAATTTTAGAGACTTAGATTGTGTTCTAACATGTGATCTATTTTTGAAAATATCCCAGGTGCACTTGAGAGGAATGTATATTTCATAGCTTTGGGGTGCAATGTTCTGAAGATTTCAGTTAGTTCCATCTGATCTAGTGTCATTTAGGATTGCTGTTTCCTTATTGGTTTTTCCCCCCTAGATTTATTCAGTTATAGCAGTGGGGTATTAAAGTCCCCACAATGATTGTATTGCTGTTGATCTATTCCTTGATATCCTCCAGAAGTTTTTTATATATATTTGGATGCTTCTGTATTTAGTGCATATATGTTTACCAGAATTATAGCCTCTTGTTGTATCAATCCCTTTTGTATTATGAAGTGGCCTTCCTTATCTCTTATTAAGGCCTTCACTACTTTGAGGTCTGTTTTGTCAGAGATAAATATTGTTACCCCCACTTATTTTTTTATTTCTATTTGCTTGAAATTATTTTTTCACCCCTTCACTTTCAGCCTGTGTGAGTCTTTTGTTCTGAGGTGTATCTCTTATAGACAGCATATATATGGGTCATGTTTTCTTATCCATTGAGCTAGCCTGTGTCTTTTGATTGGATCATTTACTCCATTTATGTTTAAGGTTATTATTGATAGGTACTTTTTTTTTAATATATATTTTTTTGTAGAGAGAGGAAGGGAGAGAGATAGAGAGTTAGAAACATCGATGAGAGAGAGTCATCAATCAGCTGCCTCTTGCACACCCCCTACTGGGGATATGCCCGCAACCAAGGTACATGCCCTTGACCGGAATCGAACCCGGGTCCCTTCAGTCCCCAAGCCGAGGCTCTATCCATTGAGCCAAACCAGTCTCGGCTGATAGGTACTTTTTGTTGCCATTTCTTTTCTTTATGCCTGAGTTCCTTCCTGTCTTTATTTCTTTTTTACAGCAGATCCTTTAGCATTTCTTGCATTACTAGTTTGGTGATAATAAACTGCCTTTGTTTGTTTGTGTGTGTTTTTGTTTGTTTGTTTTTTGTCTATGAAGCTCCTGCTTTCACGTTTAATTTTGATGGTAGCCTTACAGGATTGAGTATTCTTAGATTCGGTCCCTTTCTTTGCATCACTTCGTATACTTCATGCCATCCCTTTGGCACAATATGTTTCTGTTGAGAAATCATTTACTAGTACAATGGGAGATCCCTTG